CTTACAACCAGGGGTTCTTACAACCAGGGCTCTTACAACCAGGGTCTTACAACCAGGGTTTCTTACAACCAGGGTTCTTACAACCAGGGTTCTTACAACCAGGGGTTCTTACAACCAGGGGTCTTACAACCAGGGGTTCTTACAACCAGGGGTCTTACAACCAGGGGTTCTTACAACCAGGGGTCTTACAACCAGGGGTTCTTACAACCAGGGGTCTTACAACCAGGGGTTCTTACAACCAGGGGTCTTACAACCAGGGGTTCTTAAAACCAGGGGTCTTACAACCAGGGGTTCTTACAACCAGGGGTCTTAGAACCAGGGGTTCTTACAACCAGGGGTCTTATAACCAGGGGTCTTACAACCAGGGGTTCTTACAACCAAGGGTCTTACAACCACGGGTTATTACTACCAGGGTTGTTACAACCAGGGGTTCTTAAAACCAGGGCTCTTACAACCAGAGGTCTTCGAACCAGGGGTTCTTACAACCAGGGCTTTTACAACCAAGGGTTTAAGAACCAGGGGTTCTTAACAACCAGGGGTCCTACAACCAGGGGTTGTTACAACCAGGGGTCTTACAACCAGGGGTCTTACAACCAGGGGTTCTTACAACCAGGGGTCTTAGAATCAGGGGTTCTTACAACCAGGGGTCTTACAACCAGGGGTTTTTACAACCAGGGGTCTTACAACCAGGGGTTTTTACAACCAGGGGTCTTACAACCAGGGGTTCTTACAACCAGGGGTTGTTACAACCAGGGGTCTTACAACCAGGGGTTCTTAGAACCAGGGGACTTAGAACCAGGGGTTCTTACAACCAGGGGTCTTACAACCAGGGGTTCTTACAACCAGGGGTCTTAGAACCAGGGTTCTTACAACCAGGGGTTCTTACAACCAGGGGTCTTATAACCAGGGGTCTTACAACCAGGGGTTCTTACAACCAGAAGGCTTACAACCTGGGGTTCTTACAACCAGGGGTCTTACATCCAGGGGTTTTTACAACCAGGGGTCTTACATCCAGGGGTTTTTACAACCAGGGGTTCTTAGAACCAGGGGTCCTAGAACCAGGGGTTCTTACAACCAGGGGTCTTAAACCCAGGGGTTCTTACAAACAGGGGTCTTAGAACCAGGGGTTCTTGCAACCAGGAGTCTTACAACCAGGAGTTCTTACAACCAGGGGTCTTAGAACCAGGGGATCTTACAACCAGGGGTCGTAGAACCAGGGGTTCTTACAACCAGGGGTTCTTACAATCAGGGGTCTTACAACCAGGGGTCTTACAACTAGGGGGTCTTACAAGTAGGGGTCTTACAACCAGGGGTTTTTACAACTACGAGTTCTTTCAACCAGGGGTCTTACAACCAGGGGTTTTTACAACCAGTGGTGTTTCAACTAGGGGTTCTTCCATCCAGGGGTCTTTAGAACCATGGGTCTTACAACCAGGGGTCTGATAACCAGGGGTTCTTACATCCTGGGGTTTTGCATCCAGGGGTTGTTACAACCAGGGGTCTCGCAACCAAAGGTGTTACAGCCATGGGTTCTTACAAACAAGGGTTCTTTCAACCAAGCGTTTTACAACCAGGGGTCTTACAAGGAAGGTTTTTTTACAACAGGAGTCTGAAAACCAGAAGATTTTTGCAACCAGGGGCTCTTACATCCAGGGTTCTTAGAACGAGGGGTTTTTGCAAAGCGGGGTCTTACATCCAGGGGCGTTTTTACAAGCAGGGCTCTTACAACAAGGGGTCTTACAACCATGGGTTCTTACAACCAGGGGTCTTACATCCAGGGGTTCTTATAACGAGGGGTCTTACATTTGGGGGTTATTAGAACCAGGGTTCTTACAACGAGGGTTCTTAGAAAAGGAGGGTCTTACATCCAGGGTTTACTTACATAAATACATACTATATTAAGGGCTCTTGCCTTCATGGGTGTTACGTTTAGGTTTCTAATGTTGAGAGGTCTGAAGTTCTGGCGTCTTATTTTTAGACGGTATGATAATGTGTTTGAAACAAATGAAAGGGAAATGGAAACCAGGTTAAAAATTGTACCATAAGTTAAGTACTGGTCTTTACCGCCCTGTGATCTCTCTTTTTTTTTATTTTCAGGGAGTAAGGCGTGACATGGAAAATAGTGAACAGGATTTCCAATCTGCGGTGGAAAGCTACCAAGAATTGTCGAACACAGGAAAATACATGTTGTTCATCCAGGACGGGGTAGTCGACGACAAATGCGATTCGCTAAAAAAGAAATGGGAATCCCTCGCGAATAGCATCCCGGAACGAGTAGAAACTTTAATGGGAGAATTGAATAGCTGGAGGAGTTTCCACGAAAAGCTGGACGCATTTCTGGCCTGGGTTGACGAAATGGAAACGTTTACAAAGATAGAGAAACCTCGTGATGAAAGCGAGGCCTTGCAGCAGTTGAAGGGATTGGAAGTGAGTTGTTCAGTCATGTGATCTCTCTTCGGGTCGCTTTTGTGGCTTAGGAACCTTATGGTAGTCACAACGGAAGATGCCGTCTTGTAATTTAGAAACTTTGGTTTAACGTGTTTTTTAATTTTTGGAATATAAAGGGTTTGGTTCAAATCCATGGCGCTGAAGCTACTCCATTATTTCGACGTGATTCGGACACTTACTCTCATCAGTGTGAGAATTTGTTTCAGAATCAGCATCACTATCATCATTATACCTACCCCTCCCCTTAGCCAACATTTTGCCCTAAACGAGAAGCAAGTGTTAATGTTGGCTTAGGGGAGGGGTAGGTGGGCAGTTTCCCAGAAACCTAAGTTGATCCCATGATACCATTAGGAATGGGCTCAATATCAAGCAGCTGATTTGTTTGTGTTACAATATCGTCCAAACTTATCAACAGTGCGCAATTAGGTAACATATTTTGACACTATGGTGTAGTTCACCTTTCCCCTCTCCTCAGCCTTTTTCTCTTGCTCCTCCTTATGTTTATTATTGTCATATTCATCAACACTACCCCCTTCCCCTAGGGTCCCTTTTTAAGGGGTAGCAGCTTCCTTCGGGTAGCTTAGGAATTGCTAATTCACGAATTTACATTTTTCATCTCTAGGAGTTCCAGTCGAATTTTAGAAGCCGCCAGGACTCCTTCGAATCACTGGTCAAAGAAGGTCGTGAAGTACGTCTTCAAGCAAGCAAGGGCGAGGAAGCCGATCGTCTTGGCGAAAAACTCACGAAGTTAACCGATCGTTGGGACGAGATGTTACGATGGGCGGCCGGAAGGTATCAATTGCTGGTTTTATCGCGACATTACTTGGACTCCTCTAAGCATGTGGTACAATACCTTGAAAAAATAGAGGAGAAACTAAGCACCGCTAAGGATATACCCCCTGCGGTACTGGAAAAAATCAAAGAGGAGTCTAACAGGGCTAAGGTAAGGAACAAAGGTAGTACATATGTTGTCCCCTTCAATACCAGATTCCATTCTAAAAACATGAAGAAAAATTCTAAATTGTGAACCTGTGGATGGGAGCATATGCTTTTTCTATACAAGTGAAAGATAGTGAGCAGTACTTTCCTGTGGTACTTTTTATCATGCTGTACGAAGTGAGTGTAACTTTTGAAACTGTGAAATCATAACGTTTGACCATCCAAGTGAAAGCTACTGAACAGTACTTTCGTGTGGTACTGTTTATTATGCTGTACGAAATTATCCTGACTTTTGGGTCTGTGGATGACATCATAAAGTGTGACCATTCAAATGAAAGCTACTGAGCAGTACTTTCCTGTGGTACTGTTTATTATGCTGTACGAGCTGGTTCTAAGTTTTCGGTCTTCCCATGAAATCCTGAAGTTTTTACTATTTAAATAAAAGCTATTGAGCGGTATATTCGCTTGGTACCGTTTATTGTGCTGTACGAGGTACTTCTAACATTTAAGTCTTATGATATGACCACTCAAATGAAACCTGTTTGGTGTAAAGTTTGATTTCGGACATCCATAAAAGTGACAGGGTGAATAGGCACCTTTAACACCCAGTCTTTATAATGATACAGATGCATTTGTCGCGAGATTGACTAAAATGAAAATTGAAGGAAGCGCCTAAAAGTAAAAGAACTTTACCTCAATTCATTGTACATGCAGGCAAAGGTGGATTTGTGGAAGCAGCAGTGTCTTGACCTGGATGTGGTTGTTAAAGAAGGTCATCTGATGCTACAACAACAATCCTCAGGGCAGGCGGTGGCATTTGACGAGAAACTCGGTAACCTGAACGTGGAGTGGCATACGGTGATACAGGTAGGGAAGAGAAAAAGTTAAGTGAAAGTTAAGCGCGGTTAAACTTTGCGAAAGCATGGATGGTATTTCATGACTTTTGTATCATTGATGCTTTGGTTCTCGTAATCATCGATTTCGTAATAGAGTCTTTTCAGACGTCACGGTTTTCCCAAAACAATGAAACGGCGGCCATAAACATCCTGAAACTCCTTTCTTATGAAACGCTTTCGTTCCAATAAATTTGGATGCCAGGTTCTATAGTTTTTTAGTTATTAAAATCCCTACTTGGCTTCGTGGCTGAGGGGTTTAAAACGGAAGAAAACACATTAAACACATTGAAATTCAGGGATTATTGATTCATTTCTTTCATTTTATTTCCCTCAACCTCGGAGCACAGTTCTCATTATACGTTTCTGGGAAACTGCCCATCTACCCCTCCCCTAAGCCATTATTTTGCCTTCAGTGAGAATTAAGTGTTAATATTGGCTTTGGGGAAAGGTAGGTGGGCAGTTTCCCAGAAACGCATATAATGATCCCGAAATCACACCTGGCCTATTGCGTTATATTCATGAGCGAGCCTTGTAATTACGTAGATCGCTAACTTGTTTCTAACCAATCAGAAGAGAAACCATTCCCGTTTATTATTTCTTTGGACTGATCTCTGTTTGATGGTAAGGGCCTTCAGAGAAAGTGGACTATGCTTTGGGGTTGGTTAACTCAACGCAACTGATCTGTTGGTTTAACTGTACAAACAGGACGTGGAGGAAAAGAAGAAAAGCATCGAGAAAACTGCTAAAAAGTGGTGGGACTTCACCAGGAACAAGTTGAAGATGATCCGTTGGTTGAAAAAGAAGGAAGGCGATGCGGAGATGCAAAGGTCAACGAGCTGCCGCATTGACAGCGCTCAAGACCAGCTTACGGCATATCAGGCATGGTTAACCATTTTCTATCTATAAAGGATGTCTTTCACCTGTTTATAACTCCAAGAACCTCCTTTACGAAAGGGTCTGTGGTCACTGGTAGTCTAGGGGTGGAGGGGGTGGTCTCCCATCTTATTTTTAGGGAGAATCGTGGCCCTTAGAGCGGGGAAATTTTTTTCAAGAGAGGGCCTCCCTCAGATTTCAGGGTCTAGAATGAGTGGACCCCCACTTATCGTGAGGTCTGGATTCGCTTCTGTGTTCGTTATATATCGGTAAATCGGAATGGTTAAAAGAAAGCTATCACGAATCATGCAACACTAAGCTCGAAAACATTCGAGCATTTCTGGGGAATTCAGAAGGTACTCTTTAACCCTCGGACTTCTTCGGGAGCCAGCCTTCGGGACTATTAGCGGTATATTCTAATTTGTTTCGCTAGCTTGAGCGGTTTTTCTGAAAGAGTATTTTGGGAAATGTAGGTTGTTATCAGTTAATATTATGACCTGTTTGTATGTAGCCTTTCAACATTGTCTTAAAGTGCTTGTGAGAGTGTCCTTAACAAATCTTTCCGTGAAGTATTTGATGGATTTTTGTTACCACTTCAGGGAATCCTTGATCGATTGAATGCACACAAGCGAGATTTAGAAGCCCTGAGTAAGGCTGCCCAAGACATGATGGAAGTGGATGAGGATGGCAGTGCAGTAAAGGAAATGCAAGAGCTGATTGAACGCTTTGAAGCACTACAGAAAAACATCTCGGAAAAAAGAGAATATTTCCAGCGAGTAACGGACAAGTGGCACAAGTTTGCCGAGCAAAAACACAAGATGAACTCGTTTTTCAGAAACACTCACGGAATTGTCACAAAGCGACAAGTAAAGAGTGCAGATGACTGCAAAAAGCAGATTCAGGAGTGCAAGGTAACCAAGACCAAAATAAATATCGTTCTTCTTCGCTTTCCAAAACGCAAATTTCCAACCACCCTTTCGACTTGAAAAAGCTTTAAAGCTTTATAGGAAGTTGCGTATCAAGAAGTCGTTACAAGTGGTGTGCACTTGACAGGTCCGCAAATAAACAGAAGGCATTTTGTCTCAGCTTGTTGAAAAGACTTTACGGTGTAATTTTTTTGTTGTAAAAGAGACGTGGGTGTTGTTTTTGCAGGCTGTAGGCCAAGATCTGGTTGAAAACGAAGCGATTTTGGAAGCCGTAAACCAAGAAGCCCTCCAGTTACTGGAGGAAATTAAGAACGGGGATGGACTTGTGGATATGAATGGATTTGAAGCACAGCTGCGATTAGTGAATGAGAAGTGGAATGAAGCTAAAGTTCAGGTACTTATGTTTGTTGTTAAATTCATAGAAAGGATATGTAGTCCGTGACCAAGAGGTATTATATAAACCATCCATTTTCATGCCTGGTTTTAGCCAGCTCCTTCCCTGGTCAGTTGATTTAGCGGCATTCTGGTGAAGAGAAGGTTACTTGTTCACGAGTTCCTTTCCTAATCTGTGACTATTGGTATCTTTTCGTTTTAAACAATCTGGGCTGAGTTTCTCAAAGCATGGTTAGCTTTAACCATTGGTTAAGCAGTAACAAAACCAATACGTTGTCAAGGTATTAAACGCTGGTTAACGCTAACCATGCTTCGAGCAACTGGGCCCTGGATGTTAGGGCACACTGTCGTATTTTCCAGGTGGACATATAGCTTTTGAATAGTATGACTTTGCGCAACCGATCATTGAGTAAGTTGGCCTTCCTCTAAAATCCGTTCTTTTGTCTTACAATTTTCCGCATGACTTGTGCGGGCTTTTTGAGACTACGCTGTCATTTCTAGTTTACTCCTATTGGTTGTAGTAGACCAAGGATGTTCTAGTTTTTGCGTGTTCTCCGTTATACTTTCTCTTTGAACGTGTGGTGATGTGGTGATTCATCGTCAACTTCCTTTTGGTCAAATAGCGTAATGTGGCGTAGCCGACGGTGACCCAGTGTGTCGTGACAATTTTCTTTATCTTCAGGTCGGTGTAAAGCAGCAGGCCCTGGAAAAAGTGGCGAATGAGTTTGAAGTACTAGAAAAAGACAAAGAAGAAATTCAGCAATGGATATCTGACGTTAAAAAGGAATTGAGCTCGACCGGAGATCAAGAGGAAAAGAACCCAGATGTTGTCATTAAACGGCGCAAGTTAAAGGTTTGTGTTTCTCAGTCATATGCTATTGCCAAATAGGTCAACTTGCACACTGTAAAACAAACAGCGAAGTTTCCTGCGATTGTCCGACCGAGTATGCTTACACTTATTAGTCAATAAATGAGGCTTCAGTAATGATATCATTAACCTTTACGTAGAGCAAGGTAGTTTCCAGGCTAGAAGTTCATGCATGACCCAGAGACCTCCCATTTCGTTATTCGTAGGACCAGGTAGCTTCGCGTGAAGACCAACTGAAAAGACTCAGTCTTCAAGCTTTGAAACTGGTCGAAGATTTCTCTGATAGCGTCGATGTAGACGTGAGCGACTCATTTCAACCCTTCTTTCAAGAATGGGAGAACGTTCAAGAACTTGCTGGGCGGCCTGTGGATGATGCACAGAAGACAACTCTGCGAAAGCTCAAGAGATCCTTATCCATCCCACCACAGTTCACCGTTCAAGGTGACAGTGAGAACGAGCCCCTTCCGGAGTTGTCCCCGATGCGTCGTCTCGGAGTTCGAAGGTTTTCGTTCGGAAGTGAAAACTCTTTGGACGTGCGGGATCGTAGGCGCTCTTACGACGCTTCCATGGATACGCTGTGGAGTTCCAGCAGCACGTTTTCGATCAACATTGACAATAAAGATGACGACCCGGACGAAGTAGCTGGTGTATTTATTGAAAACGCTCTAAGAGCTGGAAATTTTTTCGTTGGAGGTAGCGAGCCAAATTTGCTGGACGGGCGATCCAGAGAGGGGACATTGTCGAGTCAGGATTATAACAAAGCGGATGTTGTAGAGGCCATGGACAGTTCAGCAGAGGTAAAGTTCCAAGGTTATCAATCGCTTATGTCCCACCCGTTAGTAGTGATCGAGGAAAAACATTTATATGAGCTGTACAGGGGCTAACCCTGCGCAGCAGCGATTAATTTTCCTCTTCTGTTATGTTTAAGTGTTAAATTCATGTTGCGAAGTAATGAAAGATACATAGTACCACGTGAAAGCAATTTTGCCAACGTTTTACTTGTTTTTATCAGACCACAGAATTTCTTCCGCAAATTCATTACCTTTTCCCAGTGAGTCATTTCCAAAGTTTATTGTTTGTGGCAAGAATCTATCCTGGCTGATTTTTGTTTCCGCAAAGGGTTTAAGTTATTAAAATTCCTGCAAAAAAAATTGCGTTGCAAATACTCTATAGCAATGTTTGATTGGTTTCTTGCAAAGTTAGAAAAAATGCTTTGTAGAGGGAGTTGTTGCGATCATAAGGTTTGGGGAAGGTTTGTTACACCTTCCGCTGTTGCTCTAGGCTGCTGACGATCATTTCTTCAGTCTCCCAACCCTTTTACCTTATTTTGTACTGTGACCACAAAGAGAATTGAGATACTGATCATTTGATGTAACGTTAGGTTGAGCAGTGCTCCAAGGAAAGCTTGGAAACCGTGATAGGGGATGAAACGCCGAAAACTGAGAAAACAGAACAGGAAATAAGAGCTCTGCTTGATAACGTCATAGAGAGGATTGTAAACACTTGTACGAGACTCTCTGTGTGTGCTTACACGACCGATGATTCTGTGGAGGATGTGGAACACAAGTTACGCGAGACCAAGGTTTGTAGCCGATTTTTAGGAAAAAAGGACTTAAAAATGCCATTTTTAGCTCTCTCCCTTGGGGGTGTTATTTCAGAGAAGGTACAAAGGGTTACGTCTTAGAAGATGGGAGAGAGGGAACGTTGTTCTCTGTAAGTAAAGCGTCATTCTGGTTAATTAACCTAAATACAGTTATTATTTTTGCTAAGGCTTTTAGGAACTGTTTTTAAAAAATGCGCGCTTTTGAAAAAAATATATATCGTTTAGTGTTTCGGTTCTCAAGGACTAGAAGGTTTGGTAAAGGGCTCCATTGTGCTGGGTATCATGGGAGGTGAACAGTGTACTCCCACCTTATGTACGACCATGACGTTACGTGCATATTTTTTATGGCCTTTTCTCGCCTTAATATAGCTCCACTGTAGACAACTACTTGTTATTCCCTTCTTTCTAAGGCCTTAGAAGACGATCTCAAATCTCAGAAAGCCGAGTTAGACGATCTAAAGGAAGATATGCTAAAGATAAACTTAGACATAAGTTCGGTAGACGAAACCTTGGAAGAAGCTGGAGTCAAGCTTGACGAAACGATTCCTCAGCCACCAGAATTAGAGGCCGAGCTTGACTTTGTGGTTGAGCAGTTTAGCGCCTATATTGTTGCGGTGCAGGAGTGGGGTGCGTGGTTTGGACCTGCTTTGGCCACCCTAGAGAGGTGCCGTGGGACGTACAAGAATCGGAGCAGCCTTGAAGATATGAATGATCAGTTACAGGTAACTTGGGTCCAGGTATTGTGTGTTGCAGAGAATAGGAAAAACTTTTAAGTGAATTCTTACAGCTTACTACTTATATAAAACACGTAAACCGGTGTTACAGGAAAATATTGCTTGGCATGTTTTTATTTGAGAAAGCTTATTTTAAACCAATTAAGACCGATAATCGAACAATATTTGTGTCGCAGTTTAAACAGCACTAAAGGAAAAAACTTTTCAGAAGCTTCCATTTTACAATGAACACTTATTCACAACTTCTTAGTCTTAACACCGTTGCAGAACATGGAAAGACGCAGAAAGGGTATCACTGCTCAGTAGCTTTCATTAAATTGGTCACACCACAGGATTTCATCCACAGACTCAAAAGTTAGAACCACATTACAAGATTCCTTCATTTACTCTATACGCGAAAGGGATGTAGCAAGACCCGCATCGCATCTTCCAGAAGGGTTCACGGATTTTTCCTTCACGATGTAACTTAACCCTTTCACTGCCAAATGTGGCCAAAGGCAAATTTCGACCAAATTTCCAAATTTCATTTTCTAAAATTTTGAAAAGCAAGTAGCACCATGTGTAAGTACAGGCAGAGAGCTTTCATTTGAATGGTCACTTCATAGGATTTCGTCTACACACTCAAAAGTTAGAGTCACCTTACACTGAAAACTCTATCAAACACTCTGGCAAAGAAAGGGTTAACGATGTATCGAAAAATGCAAGAAGAATTTATCTCTTCATGTCCAAGGTACTTCTAGATGAGATGGACAAGAACGACCAGTTGATAGGCGAGGTGTACAGCAAGGGCGATGTTCTGCTCCAGGTCATCTCAGGCAAAACAAAGGCCACAGTAGAGAGCGAGCTCAACCAACTTGAAGAGGACTGGGCCGAGTTCTGCCAGGATGCTCTGGCAGTGAAAGCGGTTACAGAACAAACTATTCAAATGTGGAATGAGTTCGATGAGAACAGAGACAAGCTGGCCGAGTGGCTTGGAGAGCTGGAGCGAGCTTATGCAGAAGCTTTCATTGGACCCGCGAACCTAGAAGCGCTCAGAGAGGAGACGGAGAAAAACAAGGTGAGACGTAAAAGAACATTCGCTATTTTAGAAATGAGAAAGGAACTACAGTGACGAATGGCCCACGTTCGATATATTAAAATTCTAAGATGGCTCCGAGGCTTTCTGGTCATTTTTCTATATTTGGATTGGTTTTCTTTGTGCTCAAGTCTCTTCTGGGAATTGCGAGACAATGGGGTCGTGAAAAAATTGCAATTTTGTCCCTAAAGACTCGGAGTCATGTTAGAATTTTAATATATCGAACATGGGCTATTGTTGGTCAACGTTACTTCACATTAACGAGGGGAAGAGTAGTTTTTTTGCCTTCTCTTTTTGCCATGAAGCAGTTCTCTTAACATGTGTTAATTCCCTCTTCTGCAGTTCAATGACAAATATATATAATCTCATATCTTCACTATCGTAAACAGTGCTTCTATTGTAACAGCTAAAACAGAAGTGGGTAAAAAGTGGCCTTAAGTGTGCTTCTCTGGCGTCAAATTGCTTAGGTGTCATTGGAAAGAGGAGTCCCACAGCTCTCATTATGACTCACACTACTTGTGACTACTTTGACTTAAAAGCTTAATCAGGCATATTGTGTACTTAGTAAATCCAAATTTGCCGCGTTATCACAAAACTAAGCAAAACTGTGGTGTAGAAGAGAGGACTGTTGTATGGTGAACTGAGATTAGTTATCGAACGAAGGTATTTAAAGGACTTTTTGCGATTCGTTTCACCACAAAGTTATCGTTGCGTTTCCAGAAACATAGTTCAAATACAGCTAAACCCCGCTTTACGGACACCTGCTTAATACGGACACCTTATTATCACGGACAGTGTGCTTTGTCCCTGGGGAAAAAACCCCTTACATTTTCTCTAAATTTAACCCGCTTAATACGGACACTTTCTATGGCCCCCTTAGTGTGAGGGCGTTCTTTCCCCAGGGACAACGCAAAGTGTCCGTATTAAGCGGGAGTCCATAAAGCGGGCTTGAACTGTACTCAGTAGACGCTGTAAATGTTTTTGTCAATGTCTACCATCAGAGCTTGCGAAAGGAAATGAGTATCCAAGAACTTGTGCTGGACTTTGTGAATGTAAAAGGCCAGGAGCTTAGCAGCAAAGTGGAAGAGAACCAATCGATAGAAGCCGATCTTCAGCAGATTAATGACATGTGGAACAATGTGCAGGAATTAGTGACCGAGAGGACCAAGGAGCTCAAAGGTATAGTGGCTGAGTTGAGTGACTTTGAAGAGGAGCTCGGTCGCCTAGGGGACATTTTGAATTATACCGAAGTGTGCCTTGATGAAAGTTCCGCAACTACGAACCCTGGGTATAACGGACTGCAAAACCAGTTGGCGAAAATGAAGGTAAGGTATTTAAGTAACATCTATTTTTCCATTCCCAACATTCCCACTCCACTCATTTTTCTTTACCCGGATTTGAATTGTACACTTAGCTGTCTTTAAAGACATAATGGCAGGTTATCATTGGGCCGAATTCCCCTTCATTTTATGCGGGAGGAGGGGTTGGGTTTCAAGTGGAAATTCCGTTATTAACATTCTGGCCCCAGTTGTTCAAAAGTTAGATGACGCTATCCTCTGGATAAATCTCTATCCAGTGGATAACACAACTGGATTTTTCTTTAATATTTATCCGCTTGACATTGATTTATCCTGTGGATGGCGCTATCCAACTTATGAAGAAACAGGGCCTGGCTTGGTTTGAGACTTTCTCCCAAATTTCTGGTGTGTGTTGCTGCGCAAAGACAACGGACATTTGAAAAACAATTGTCCCGTTTGCCAAAAAAGCTAGTAGTAGTGTTAGAATTGTGCTATATTTATCATGGACATTTGTCTTTTCATGTTTCCAGGCCGTTGCCAACAGCTTCGAAGGACACATGGCTCAACTTTCCGATGTCCAAGAACGAGGGTCTCGGCTTCGTGAACGCTGCAACAGCGAAGGGCGAGTAACAATCGATGACAAGCTTCGAAATCTTCAGCGCCGCTGGTCAGATGTCAAGGAGAAGATTTCCCGCAAGGTGCAGGTTGTTGAAGGAGAGATCGGCGAGTGGTCTACGTTCACCAAGGAGTTAGATCAGCGGCTGACAGAACTGCGTAATGCGGATATCAGTTTGGGAGTGGTAATTATCAGCACTGCTGAACTGGCGGTGCTGGAAGATCAACTGGCCAACGTCAAGGTTTGTAACCATGGGGATGTTTTAACTCTTTTCTTTTCGTTTCTTGGAACGAGCAAAGAGGAGAGGTCTAGGATCTAGGTTATCTTTGAAGAGATGTCACTAAAATGTGTGCACCATCGACGTTTATGTACAGACTGAAAAGGTAGAACCACCGTGTACAGCATAACAAACAATACCACGGGAAAGTACTGCTCATTAACTTTCATTTAAATGGTCACACCATGGGATTTCATCCACGGAATCAATAGTTAGAACCATCTTGTACAGCAAAATGAAGAGTACTACAGGAAAGTACTGCTCAGTAGCTTTCATTTGAATGGTCACACTTTAGGATTTTATCCACAGACTCAAAGGTTAGAACTACCTTGTACAGCATAACAAACAGTACCACAGGCGAGTATTGTTCAGTAGCTTTCATTTGAATGGTCGCACTATAAAATTTCATCCACAGACTCAAAAGTTAGCATGACATCATATCTCCATTATTGACTCTAGATGGGATAGAATGAGTAGTGTTTCTTTTGTTAACTGTGACAGGCGCTTTGTGATAACCTTGAGCAGTCTCAGCCGCAGCTAAACCAACTCTTGACGACTGGCCGCCTTCTGTTAGACAAGGTCCCAGATAAGGACGACCGTGAGTTCCTGGAAAGCCAGCTGAATACGCTGGAAGAGTTGCAAGCAAGCGTGATACGCAAGTCTCTGGCGAAACAAGAAGAGCTGATTCGATACATTGTTCAGCAGCAAGATTTTCAGACTCAGGTCCAGAGTTGCATGCATGTGTTGCAGGTAATGTTTTACACATTTACAATGGTCTCGCTTCTAATTCGCCATGTTCTAAACGAGTGAAAAACTGGGCGCGATATGCCATCACAAAGCGTTTTGAGATCGATTAGAGAAACATTATGAAGGTCAACAAAAATGGCGCACTAAAAGTGGTGTGCTCCAAACTACAATAATAGTTTCAGAAATGCTACAAATTATCAGTTTTACTTAAGTCCTTAAGTCCTTGACGCACCAGGTGTGTCTTCTTCCGTCAGAATAACCTTGAGTGTGCCTTCAGCAGGTGGCTTACTGCTAACCGCCATGTTTATGTTGTCCCTCCAAATGATCCCTAGAGCCTTTGCTGTAATAATTCGCACCAGTTCCCGCCTAGTACAGAAGATGGCCAAATTGGCCAAAAACTTCATGTTGTTTATGCTGGTTAGTTAAGCCTAGGCTAAAGACCTGTTATGAGGATACTCATAAAAAGGTTATGGTAAGAATCTGTAGTAGTCAAGTGGCTTTAGTGAAATGTGTGTAACCATGTTCATTCACAGGAAGTTGAAGTGTCTTTGAGCGACTGGGAACTAGGCGTGGCATCCGGGCTGAATGAAATGAAAGAGAAATTGTCGCTTTGTGAGGTAAGACAAAACATGTTTTGTACTTGATGGGGAAACGAAGAGTTTCGGTACAGGGCTAATCGTAAATGAAAGGTAGCATTCATCTAATTCGTTTTGCGCTTCCTTATTTATTACAAGAAATCGTGAAAGGGTATATCCTGCATTTGTGAATAAGCAGTTCCTGTTTTTCTTAATAAAGCAAGGAACGAACTTCAGGTGCAGAGACAGGAGACTGTTCAAGTTAAGGCTCTTGATCAGTGTTTTCACTTGCTACTGTACCTCAAAAATCAAATACATTTGGTTTTCATTTAATTAACGTACTTGTCTCTAGAAGGAAGGGGATGAACACGAAAACCGGATAACAGGATGGTCTCTGAGGGTAAAGATTTTTAGTGAGTTTTCTTTTTTCCGCAGCCGTTACTAGCAGAATTACAGACGCAAAAGGAATTCGTCAACAACCTAAGCGACAAGGGTAGGAAAATTGTACAAGATAATCCACAGAAGAAACGGGAAACTCTAGAAAAACTACGAACGGTCGGTGACAAGTGGAAGAGGGTGCACAGACTTGCAACAGAAAAGAAGGACTACCTTGCAAAATGCATTGCTGAAGTAGAAACGTTTGAAGTAAAGTACGACGAATGCATGGACGCCCTGGAGAAATTCTCCAGCGAAACTACAACCCTGATGGATACCTCTACAGATTTATCGCATGTCGAGTCTTCAGTTGACGACGTCCTTCAAGTTGGCCATCGAATTACATCTCTACTTCCTGACAATGAACGTGCCATCTTAGAGGAACGCCTCGAGAAACTGCGTTTTACGTGGAAGGAGTTACGTGACGTTCGTGACGAATCCGCGCGCGTCCGTGCGGAACAGGAGGTTCTGAAGGTAGAAGAAGCGAACAACTTGCATTCCTCGAATGAAGCCTTCAAGCTGGAAGTAGATGACTTAAACACTTGGTTAGATGAAGCGGAGAGTACTTTGAAGATCGACATGTTTAGCGTTCCAGAGGAGGAGCAGATGAATGTAATAAAAAAGCAAGAAAAGCTGTACAGCGAGATCGAAAAACAAGGTTTAGTGGTGGAAGATATTTTGTCCAAGGGAAGGAAAGTATCGTCGCGATTGAACGAGCAGGAACGAGCTGTCATGGATGAGCAGTTGGAAGGGCTGTCTGTGCGGTGGAACTATGTGCGCACTCTGTCTGATTTACAGAGCAATGAGCTTGAACGTTGTATCGGAGAACAGTCGGATTATTACGATTTACTGGAGAAATGTGTGCTGTGGATGCAGGAGGCAAGCGCTTCAGTTGCAGCTGATGCAGCTGACCCTGCTGATACAGTGGCTGTTGCGGCTGAACTGGAAAAACACCGCGAGCTTTGTCAGGAGATTAAGCACAGAGAAGAAATGGTGGCGTCTGTAATCAGCAAAGGCAACATACTGTGTGGTAAGTTAGCAACAGAGGAGCAGGGAGCTGTACTGGAACAGCTGGCTCGTGTCGAAGACGAATGGAAGATGTTGCAACAGCAAGCCAAGGAGAAAGAAAAGGAGTTGAGAAGATGTCTAGGAGAGACGGTGGAAAATACGGCGGATAATGGTACGTCATGCTCAGTGCTTGTTCATGTACTCTACGACGGAACCTAGTTAACAGGGATATAGAACACGAGCGTTTTACGTCATGTACCCAACTCCTACTTTTACTCCTTGCTTACACAAGTCTGTAAGAAGTTTTTGGATTGGTTTATGAACGAGGGTACTGAGGTCCAGAGAGAATAACCGAAGTAATATCATAGGTGACGAATTACTCCTTAATTTTGGCGCGAAATTTCGGCGTTAATTTGTAATTCCACATGTGAAATTACAAAATTGCCATGGCAACCCTTCCGTACGTCTCAGTATCAAAATGGCGACGAAGTTTTAAAATGCCGTGAATGAAGATGCCAGGGCATAAAAAGACGCTTTAGAACACCCGAACACACGAAAGAGCACATCAAGAAGGAAACTAACTGGTATTTTGTCGAAAAAGTCTGAACTTACGCCAAATTTAAGCTCTAAACGTTCGAGAGAGTGGAATTCTTCGATCGAGACGATCCAGGATAAACATGTCAAAAATCCAAGATTGCTAACGTAATTCGTCACCTATGATATTAATAGGTAATCAAATGGTATACTCGTGAAATTAGGGAATAATTTCACTTGCGTTTGTCCAAATCCTAATAATTTCCCTCGCCTTAAGGCTCGGGAAATTATAAGGATTTGGACAAAACGCGCGTGCAATTATTCCCTAATTTCACTCGTCACCATTTGATTACACATACTACTATATTGTGTGAAACGGTTATTTGGGTGTGTATCGGGGCGGGCTCCTCAGAGATTCCCGACATTTCCGTAAACACTGGTGTTGGGGAAAGGGTTCACTGTCTTACCACGCTATTTCAAAAATAAATTTGTTTTAAGCTTATTTTATCCCGTGAGTTTGGATAGCTACCAAATAACTTCAACAAATTAAGAAATTATACTACTGAGTTTATGTCCTTCTTTACAGCCCTCCAAGGCGAGGAATGCTGTTTACAAAATCTGGATGAATGCGCACTGTGGTTGAAGGCTGTATTAACTAGAGCGGAAATACCAGAGGAAAGAATTGCGGCGTTTACTGAAGTGGAATCCCGCTACTCAGAAGTGGAATCGCTCATTGCAAAAATGGAAGAGTCACTTGCCAATGACATGAACGAACCAGACAGGTCAGAGAGGGAATCCAAACTACTTCAACTGAAAGAAGATTGGCAGGGACTGAAAATGAAGGCAAGAGAGAAAAGGCGCCGTCCTGGAAGATTAGGAAGTGAACTTGAAAGTAACCAGGTCGTATTCGCGGGCGTACTAGCGGAGCTAAAAACGTGGATCTCAGAAGCAAGAGACAGATGCTTAGGGATGACAGCTTTTTCGACTGTCCAGGAGTTGCAAGAAGCGTTGAGAGTCTGTGCAGATGTTAGAAGTGGACTCCCTGAGAAAAAAACTAGGCTTGAAGATGCCATTCTGAAAGGACGAGAACTAATAACTGAGGTTGAGGATGAAAATGTGGAAGCTCAGCTTGAAGACGTGAAATCGCAATGGGACAATCTACAGGAGGACTTGCGCATGCGAGAAGGTCTTCTTGAAGGTGCATTAAAACAAATCCAGGCGCTTGAATGTGATTTCGCTAAAATGCAATCAGTTGTAGAGGAGGTAGAGACCAAACTACAGAATTTGACTACAGTCGGTGGCTTTCATACCGTCGAGTCAGAACTAGAGAGTTTACTTGGACTTGTTAATGATTTAAAGGCATGCGAAGCTGAAATTATTTCAATCGAAAAGAGCAACCAAGCAGTCGATGCCAGCTGCCAGGCCTTGAAAGACGGTTTCGGTAATCGTGTGTCTGAATCGAAGGAAAAACTTGCTCATGTAAAGCAGGAGATCACAAGTCGCATCCAAGAAGATCAGGAGATTCTTAACCATCGAAACGATTTGGCAACGGAACTGTTACAGTGCCAAGAGCTGATTAGCAAAGTGGAAATGTTCGCCGGTGAAGAACTCAAATTGGAGCAGTTGCCGCTTCTAGAAGAAGGCGTTGTGCAAGCCACTGAAGCCGTGGATTCAGTCGATTCCGCACTGGCGTCTTTAGACATTAAAGGTGAGAAGCTTTTCAGCAGGCTCAAGCCGTCTGAACAGAAAGTTTTACAAGTGGAAATAAATGAATTGAAGTCGCACTGGAGTGGCGTTAAAGAAAACCTTGAAAGGCGTTTTGCCACTAGGGCAGCCTTTGATCAAAATTTGAAAGCCACCAAACAGTGGATTGAAAAAGCGAACGAGGAAATTACGCGTTCACAGATTCCATCTGATGACCTATCCGCATTAGAAGACCACTTGGCCAGGTTGAAGAATATCCATGAGGAATGCAGCTCTCCTGAGAATGTTGTGAATGTCTTTTTAACGAACGGCAAAAAGATTGTTCAGGACGAGAGTGACACAGAAAAGGGTATTTTCGAGCTGCAACTAACAGAGTTAAAAAGTTCATTCGAGGACGTAACAGAGCGATCTAGAGTAGAAATTGATAGGGTTGAAGCTGAGCTAAACGAATATCGTCACTTTTTAGCGGAGTACCAGGAATTGACGTCGTGGATCGAAAACGAAAAAAGGCTCCAAGAGACTTATCCTTTAGGTGAAGATTCTTCGTTAGAAATTAAGCTTGAAGAGCTCAGATCGAAAAAGCGTAACATTGACTCGAAAGAGGAGAAAATAAAAGAGTTATCAGAAATTGCTGCGAGAATTACAAACTTTGATATCTTTGGCAAGGAAAACGCTCAGACTCAGTTGCTAGCTTTGCAAACGTTATTTATGGAATTGAAAAACAAAGCTGCTGACCAGGTTGAATCGATACAGGTAGAAAATGATAGAATGAAAGAGTTCCAGGCTGAGCTGCAACACTGCAAAGACATTGTACAAGACCTCGAAAGCGTTGTATCTACCGAGTCACCCTCTTTTAACGAAGTTGGTCAACTTGAGGGTTACGTTCAAGAGCTTAAAGTGAAATTTCAAGACGCTTTGGGCCAAAAAACTGCCATATTTCAACTTGGAGAGAAGAAGGATGAACTTCCATTGGCCTCAGAAGCAGCGGAAAATTATGATGAGGTTGTAAATAAATGGAAATCTTTGCTCGCTGGCTTCTCAGAGAAGATTGCGGAAACAGAGAGAAGAATTGCCGAAGAGCAGAAGCTCAACGACAGTTTCGAAGAAGTTTCAAGCTGGGTGGAGAACGTTGAAAAAGAAATGGAAATTTCGTTGGCTTCCGTGGAGGCTCAGGAGGTGGAAGAAATAGTCGGGCAAGTCGAAAAACTCCGAACATTGAACACTGAATGCGTCTCCTATGGTCAATTGGTTGAGTCGCTCCGAAGCAAAGTCGAAGATTCGGGGAATCAACCATCGGAAGGGCACGTAGGTCGGTTCAGTTCTTTGAAAGCTAGTGTCGAAGCGATGCATAAACGTCTTACAGCGAAGCTGGGAGATGTAGAGCACTGTGTTAACGATGTGAGTGACGTTAAGGAACGAATATCTTCGTGTAAAGAATGGCTGTTGCAGAAAAAGGAACTGATCGTCGCGAACGAGGAGAGTATTCGGCCAGGGAAGGTAGAGGACCTGGAAGAAAAACTTGTGGAATTCCAAAATTGGAACCAAGAGGTAGAAACAGTTCTTCATGATATCATGCAAGCGAAGGAGATAGTTGGTCAGGGTGTTGGAAAAGTTTCCGGTGCTTTAGAGGAATCCTTGTCGAAGGAACTCAATAGCTTGTGTGACACTCTTACGGGCTTACAAGAAGGTTCTGCCGCTAAGGTTGTGGAACTGGAGCATTGCTTGGATGGAGTAAGAGAAATTGAAGAGCAAGTTGCGCGTTATGACACTTTGCTTCACGAAGCGGGTAACGTGGTACAAGGGTCCAACGAGAAGCCTGTCCGCTTAGAAGCTCTAACAGCCAATCTTGAAAAGTTGAGAGATCTACAGAAAGACCTTGCTGAAAAGGAAAAGGAATTCCAAAGTTTTCTTAAAACAAAAGAAGAATTAGTCACTCAAAGCGGAAACCAAGAGAGGTTGGCCAAGGCAAAGGAGGAATTTGATAGTCTTATCAAAGAAATCCCTCGGGTTTTGAGTGAAACAGAGGTGAAAGTCAGTAACTATGAGCAATGTAAGAAAGAGCTCGACGAGTCCTTGGAATGGTTGACCAACGCCAAAAGTTTTGTTGACTCCAATGTTACGTACTCGCTTGACGACAGTAGCGCTGAGGACCATCTTCGTAAACTAAAAAATCTGCAGCCCGAATTGGAGTCGTTTGGCTCTAAACTCTCGGTTATTGCAGAAAAGGGAGAAAATGTGGCTCTTATTGAAGGGGAAAGTGAAAGTAAGCTCCAAGAAAAACTTGATTGCGGGAGAAGCAATTTGGCAACACTATGTGATGAAGTGCGCGTAAAAGAGGCGCATTTGGTGACATTTTTAAAAGCAAAAGAGAACTATAACGCATGCGCAACACAGTGTAAACAGTCTTTGACTGAACTGAGGCGATCTGTTGAGGAAGAGTGTACATGTTCAGCTATTGCGGAGAAGTCTAATGCTCAGCTTGATCTACACAGGAAACAGCAGGAGAAATGTCACGAAATAGAAGAACAAATTCGATCCCTGGAGGCAGCGGGTAGTCGGGTTTCTAGCGCGTGCGAGAATCAAAGAGAACCGTTGCGAGAGAAGCTGATAAAAATTAAAAATGAATTGCAAGCACTGAATACGGAAGCTTTGATTAAGCAAGAACAGCTCGTAGCGTGGATGGCCGAAATCGGAAATATTCATGAAGAAGTGAAGGATAGTGTAAGTCGAGTAAAAACTATTCATGAGTCTCTTCAAAGCTGTGAACTAAAAGCTAGCGACATACGTGTCGCAAACGATGCCCTTGGCCAGCTTAAACAAACGGCATCAGAACTTGATGCCGAGAAAGAAAATGTCCAGAATATTGTGGAAAAAGCTGAAATGGTCCTGGGAAAACTTGAACCCGGCGAGAAAGAAGAGCTAGAGGAATCAGTTCGCGCGCTTCAGCGGGCTTTTAACGATGCTGAAGAAGAATCAAAGGAAAGAGTTCGACAAGCAGAAGAGCATATTAATAACATTATCGAATTCGATAAACAATCTGCTCATTGTGAGAGTCTGCTAACTATTTACCAAGCCGCTGCCCCAGTTGACTTGTCATGCACAGTAGAGACTCTCGATGATCAGATGGCCAAACTGAAAAGGCTTTACGGAGATATGGAATCACGTGAATCTCACATGACGGCACTTCAGGAGAAGGAGGCTAAGTTATCACGCGATGAAAACTCACAAAGCGGTCCTACTACCCCGGATGGAAAGGCTGGAAAGCTGCAAGGAGACTGGGGAAAACTGAAGGCTTCAGTGGGTGAGAAGTTGCACGAACTTGAGCGATTAGCGGAGATGAAGAAAGATTTTGAAGATGACTATAGCGCGTGTTTAGAAGGTGTTCAAGAGCTGGAAACAGCACTTCACGTGACAGAAGGCGATGGGGGTCCTGTAGACGCGAGATTGAAGCGAATGCAGGAACTTTGTTCTAAGATAAAATCTTACCGTAATAAACTAGATTTGCTCACTGACCGTTGTAATGAACTGCCAAATGTCGCCTATGAACAAACAGATCTTGATCCAAAAAGGAAGTTGGACATTGTTGTCGGAAAATGGGAAGAGGTAAAAGAAGATGCTTTGGGAAAACTAAACGAACTTGAAAAGGAAAAGACAGAAACACAAAACATTGATAATGAGATTTCGAAGTTGCGCTCTTGGGTGCAAGATACTTGCGCGCCCTTCGTTCATAAAGAGATACCGCCAGTTATTCAAAAGGACATGTTAGAAAAAGCTGTCATGGATAACAATGGATTTCTCTCCATTCTGGATACAAAATTTGCTTTGTTAGGGGAGTTATTGTCCAAAACAAGACATTTCAAGGGTGGTGTACAACAACAAGAGAAACCTATTGAAAGTATACGGGATATAGAAAGAAACTTAAAAGATGCTAAAGCTAAGTTAGTAAGCAACAGCGTTGAGATTAAAAGTCGCTTGCAACAACACTGTAAACTTGTGTCCGACCTCCATCGCGTAAGGGATCTGTTAGTAGAATTGAAACGTGGAAAAAGCGTGGAGTCTGCTGGGCGTGAAAGTGATAACTGGATTGAAGAAAGCATTAGTTCGCGGAGGATTGATGTGGCTAAACTTGAATCGTGTGACGTGCTTCTGTCTTCTGTGCCGGAGAAAATTGCCATAGCTAAAGTCGGACATGTCGATGTAGACGAAAGTGTGATTGAACAGGATTATTACGCTCTGACCGCAGACGTTCAAGCGATGAAAGAGCGTCTCACCGACGAAACCGCACACCTGGAGAAAATGCGTCAGTTTGATAACGATTGCGTTGAATTGTTGGCTTTTTACGAACGTCTTTCAGGGCAGATCCGCGCAGTTGATCTGGGTGCCATTGCTGAGACTTCCAGCCTTACTTATACTGAAGAAGAGCTTGCGAAATGCCGCTTGGCTGGACAAGAACTCTCTCAAACAGATGGAAATTTCAAATCACTGGTAGAAACAGGACCAGACATGTTGAATTTTTCGACTTACGATAAAAGACATAATTTAGAAAAACGGTGTAATGAACTTAAGGAAAGCAGAACTTCTTTGCAAGATCTGATCAATGACCGAGTCGAAGCTGTACGAAAGCTCGTTGCCGAGCAACAGACTTTGGAAGGCTGGTTGAAAAAGGCGGGAATTCTGATTCAGGATGCTAAGGCTTTGCTGCTTGAGAACGAGGCCAGTGTGACCCTTGATGATTCCCGGATGTCAGAGAAGATCCAGGCTCTCTCCGTGCTAAACACCAAGCTAGAGGAGTATCTTGCGTACAGCGAAAGTTTACAGGGAAGTGGGAAAACCGCTGAAGTTGCGAGGATGAACGCTGAAATAAGTCAACTCTGCAAACAGCTGACGGCTTCGGCAAATGATTTGCAGGAGTTTAAGAGTCAGTGGAATGCATTTGAAACTGAGGCTGCTGAAGCCGCGACACTTTTCGCGCGGTGTGCTGCTGACCAGTCTGCACCTGCTTCGTTACAGGAGGCTCAAGAGAGGTTAATAAACGTCAAGGTAAATAGCTTTTGTGTTTAAGAATTATCTTCAACTGTCTGTCGTTTAGTCGTAATCATACAATTGGACTGACCAGTCGCAACGGGCGCTGACAATCGAATGAACCAATCATAACTCGCGCGAGATGGGTGCAACCGATAAAAAGCGCGAGAAAACGGCTGCCGGCAAGTCATGATTGGCTTGAACTTTGCTTCTGATTGGTTGTGTTAACTAAGCCAGCAAGCCAACTGAGAGATCCAGCGCTCAGTTGGTTTGCCAGCTTGATTGGTTAGAGTGCTGCGCCGGTGTTGCGGGGGTCGGGGTTCGAGTCTTGTTGAGCCTGAATTTTTTCAGCGTTTCTTTTCGCAACTGCAAAAGTTGCGTGATGGTCATCGTTGCATTTATTTGTTCATTCCGTGGCTGAAATATATGAAATTCTTGTATTTATCATTTCATATGACAACTTTAGTTCCGTAACAATTACTGCTACCACTTCCCACCCATACAGCTGGTTGTGCAAAACTCGTGCATTTTACGGTACCTGTTGCAGTCGTAGTACTTTTTTTTTCTTTGCCACTTCTTTAACGTAGACGACTGTGAGACGCGCAGAAGTCTTCAGTGTAGCAATTCCAAAACGACGGCAAAGGTTATTAGATTTAAGCTTTTTTATTAAAACGCCTTGAATAACCTCTCCCTATACGTCACTCGCAAGGATACGCCAGCGTGTGTGCAAGAAACGTTGTACTTGTCAAAATTTTCTTCGTTCTGTTTAAATGAGAATGGAATAAGGGAAAACGTTTTGCTTTTTCCCCTTTTGAGTTTCTCTTACGTTAAGAAGATCGATTTTGCTTGGGAAGATAAAGGCCCTCGTTGCTTGAATTTCAGATGAGATTTTGTCCTCGCTTTTCTTTGTTTCCAAGACAATAGCACAAGCTATCCAGCTTCTGTTATTGCTATGACGAAACTAAACACGACCAAAAAGCATGGAACGGGTTAGCAAACGATTTCCAAACGTTTAAAACTGCTCTTAAAATGAATATGGTTCCCGAAATTTTCTATTTTATTTACTTGGGAGATAACGCGGTGAGTAAACTTGTAGTTCGTCGCGATTTAAACCTATTCAGTAGATGTTGTTAGCAGCAGTTACTTAAAAAGCGTTAGAATTTTGACAGGTTGTGTAAAATTGGTAAGCGAGAAGCACTATAAAAAGCTAGAGTTTTATAGACTTCACCTGACTGATCATAATGTAAGGTTTTTTCTTCAGCCTCGAAGTGAGAATCGCTACAGCTTTCAACTTATGCGCCATTTAGCAAAGAGTTCATTTTTTTTCTGTCGCCAGTTCATTTAATCAGTCCAGTCACAGCGACCCTCGGTAGTCGCTATGGTGTAATAGGCAATCAGGAAACATTTCCCGCTCAGTCGTTTAAATTAACATATCTATCTGTGTATAAACGATACGGAAGAGCATTTGAATATTTATATTTCCTGAGTTACTCGACTTATATTTGCATGGTCATTATGTTATAATGTCTTCGAATAATTCCAATTTAACACCAAAATTCTCTGAAGGGGAACCAAATGTTTAGTCTCGTTCAACTAGTCAAGTGGCTTTTGGTAAAACGTACGACATTGATGTTTTTTTCAATGTTTTGGTTTGTAAGTGCTCCCATTCAACGAGTGACTTCTTTTATTAACTCTCCAATTTGCTTTTGAAGCCGTTGAAATCGAGAATTGTAGCAAATCGCGCTTAACGGTAAGTGTAACAAGCGATCACTTTTTTTTCTATCTAAATGAAGTTGTTATGGTTCGAAGTCTGTAAACCGAACCGCTGAACTCAAAGAAGGGTTATTGTATTCACGAGTAATTTTTCCTAAAGCTGTTCGCCTTTAATGGTAGGTTTTATATATATTTCCTTCAAGATGACAGGTTGGATTTCAGGTTTCTCCGTCGAATTTTTTCCGCTTAAACGAATCCAATTTAACTTTCTGTGTGTCATTTTCCCGCCATTGAATTTACGACAGTCATTCAATAGGCTACGTCACTTCCATTTTACCGATTGTAGCTGACTTTACTTAAGTCATCGCCAGTTACGGAAAGATCAATCTCATATGCAGGTTCAGGGTTATGTCGACGCGACGGTTTACAGTTCAGCGCACTCGCTTTTCCTTCATCGAAAAAGGATAATTTTGTAAGACCGATTTATGAGCGGGTAATCGGTGTTTGATGATTTAATCCGTGTCTCTCAATATCTTGTATTCCGTTAGTTAGTTATCTATGATCGATGTTTTTGATTTGCTTCTTATATCTATTATTACAAAAGGAAATGCCATATCAGTTAGAGGCTGCAATATTGTGAAACGAGGCTGAATGATTATTTATTTTTGACAACCGAGATGCTGTTTTTGTTTTGACCTCGTGCTATCGACGCGCCAGCAGGTTTTGAGTTAATCACAGCAGGTGGAAATCTGTGTCCATAAACTGTCTGTGTTTTTTCGTGGCCCTTTAAGCTCCAATATCCAAATACAAATTCTCCAGATTGAACTCTATACGTTTCCTCACAGAATTAGTTGAGAGAATTTGATGAAAGATCAAGCATTCTTCTTTTTTCAATCATTCTAGTAATTCTCCTAACCATTTCTCTTAGTTATGAATTCATATTGTCAGGAGAAACTTGATGTTGAGAGCTAGGGTTAGGGGAGAAAAGGCAGTTAGTGAGGGTCGTTCGAATCTCTTTAGCCTGCGAGCGGGCGCTTGGAAGTTGTGGGCGAAAAAGGGAATGGGCATGCGCGAGGGAGACACGCGAGGGGTGACTCCTTCTCTCGCGCCCGTTTTTTGTCGTGCCCACTGCTTTCAGGCACCTGCTACGCAGGCTAGAATCTGTTCTGGAGCTCAAAATTTTTCCGAGCTTTCTGATGCAGATTGATTTACCTTTCTTTCGAAAGATAAAGTTTTGTACCAGTAGTGAGTAACTAAGCCTAGGCCTTTTGTCGGGAATAAAGACTGGTCAGTCGATTTTTTTAGTTATTCCTTAATCTTGATGATAATGACCCTTAATTATTAAGCCGTGAGAAGTTTAAGAATGATTAGATATTAAGTATTTAGACCATAATGCTACAAATTGTCTTTTTTTAAGGACTTACTAACAGAGATAGGCACCAGTGAGACATCCCTGAGCGCACGAGCTGAACAAGTCAGCGGTAGACTTAATGAGCTTGACAAGAAGGAGTTTGATGAAAGGCTTCGAAACTTTGGTGAAGAGTGGCGAAAAGCGAAGCAACGACTGAATGAACAACGAGAATTATTGGAGGACGGAATTTCAAGCTGCATGAAACAGCTCGAGGTCATGGAGCGGGCAAAGACGACTGCCAAGGAGGTCGATCAACTCTTGAATGAGATAGACGACTCAAAACAAAGCGATATGGAGGCTGTTGAATCCAAAACTGAGGTATTGTGTGTTTATAATTGTAATGTCTTGATCATGTTATAATTTTATATCAATGTGTTGAACTGTGAAATAATTTTATATATTTTATGCGGATAAACTGTTTGACCATGCGGAAGCAGTATGAACTTCTCTATGTTTACAATATAATATAGCTAAAATGCGTCCGTTTGTTTATGTTTAAAAACCTTCGCTTTAGTTTAATTCTAATTTCGTCCTCCTTTTTTTACTTCCTTTTAAATGAAAATCTCATAGTAATTCTATGCCATTAATTTTTGGTGTCTAAAAAGCGCTCATCGAAAATTATCTCAATTTTGCATATTCAAATCGAGTCCTTATTTAAAACACAGTATTTGATCCCATATAAACTTAATGAGCGTGGAAACGTTGAAGTTTATATCTGTTGAAGACATAGTTAACCTTTCTCTCTCCTTTTTTGTTAAGAATTCTAATTTTTCCTCATCCTTGTAAATAATCATACGGCTCTTAGAGAAATAGTTCGATATTTTCCAAGCTATTTTTATGTACTTAATCTTTAAAAATACAAAACTACATCTTTAATTTGCATTTCGTCTTCAAGATGAACCTTACCAACATAATTTCACTTAAAAGTATTTTCATGTTTCGGATGATTTTTTTACTTTAGTTTTCAAAATAAAGATATCCTTGTGGGAAGTTGTGTGTTTATAGGAGCAAATGACCACCAAGCCGTGCGATTTCTTCTCTTCATCCATCAAGTCTTATCTACAAATTTACTGAATTGACCGCAAATCTCCAGCCATTTAAATTTGGTCGCGTTAATTTATCTTCTAAGATTTCGGAAAAGTTGAATTGTCGATGATTTATTTTGTGGTTTCATCGTCTGATAATTATTTTTGCCTTTAACCGTGGCTAGAACTGCGTTAATTTTTTATGAATACAGTACATTTATAATAAGAGTGCGCGTCTTTCTTTAGTCGGAAGTAGTGTGGGTGTTTTAATTCTCAAACATTTTCTATTCAAATGGTGGAGTAAATTATGGATCAGTGATATGAATAAACTCTGCATGGAATCAAAGATTGTCTGTCCAATATCGTCGTTTAAGCTTCTAGTGCGAAATACATTTTCTCGCCCTTTTCTAACTTTCGGAGAAAAATTTCCCCGTGTTTTAGGAAACGTAGCCGAGTGATTTTAGACTTATCAAACAATGTGAAACGCGGTTCCTTGAACTTCTTTTCTAAAAAATATTGCTGTCACATTTTTTTGCCACTGTTCGGAGCACTTGAATCCCGTGCAAGCCAATTTTTATTTTTGAAGCTTTCTTTTCACCGCTGCTTAAGTTGCGTACACAACTGCAACCAACTTTCAGGTGTCTACTCTTTCTTCCGCAGTACTCTGTTTATAATAAGAGAGCACGTCTTCCTTTAGTCCGCAGTAATCTCATTAATTCACTTTAGCCGTCTGTACTGTTTCCTAGGATCTCCGAGGAAAATTAGAGATTTTCGAATCTCTTGTCGCAAGTATGACTGAAATGGCCGCTTCTGTACCTCCGACATGGAAAGAATCAAACGAACAAGAGACAACGAAGGAAGAATTTGACACGATTAGAAACAACGCAAGGCGGCGTCAGGCTGAACTTCACGACACGATTTCCTTTCATAAACAATACCGCGAGGCTGTGGTCGCGGCTGTTGGCCGTCTCCGTGAAATTGAAGAAAAACTGGAAGGCAAAGAGTCCACTGAAAATGAGGCAGAAGACAGACCCCAGATTGAGGTAAGGGGTACCGTCAACCTATTCCACGCGTAGGCTATAAGTGTCGTGATTGGATGACATGCACTGATAACCGCCCTTGCTGATCCTCTAGTGAATATCAGAGACCTTTAGATTTTAGGACGAGGGCGACTGCGAGGACAAAATTTCACTTGCAGAGTCTTCTATAAAAAGAGGCGGTTCTCACCCGGGAAAGCTCAGTTCAATTTACTTTTTTTCACCAGAAAAGTTAACATGGTTATTTTTTGAAATAGAAATATGTGAAATCAATTCATATATAGGTACTGCGGGGTGAAGAGTGAAACGAAAGAATAAGCCTTCTCCCAATCGCAAAATGATAAAACTTCTAACATTTGATGACTTTTTTCCTTCACTACGACATTTCCTCTAAAACCCGTAGTAGAAGCGTTTTCCCGACAAAATGACAATGGTTCACGCGTGCGCACTTCGTAGTATTAAGAAAATGTCGTTCTCGTGGTCGTCCTCGTCTTAGAAACGAGAGCGAAACATCCTTTTGCATTTGTGGGGTTGCCACAAGTTAAGCGCACTGAAGTTTCACCATTTAAGTCATTTTCATTTTTATTTTTAATTTAAAATGTTTTTTTTTTCGCTAGGAGTTGCAGCAAAAGTTGGACGATGTTGCCCCGCTTCTGCAAAATGCGCGCGAAAAGGGCAAGCTGCTTACCATGATGGAATCCCCCGGGGAACAAGGTATTAAAGTTCAATCCAAACTCGACGAATTAAGCGAAAAGTGGGACGAACTACAAGGGAAACTACACGATAGAGTAGCAGATTCAGAAAGGAAAAACGAAGCGGTAGCTGCCTTCAATAGCGAGGTCAGGACAGTGGCAATGAGGTTGAAAGAGTTGGCCGCCTCCACGGACGACCTCACTGCCATCACTTATGATTCTACGAAAGTACTCGAACAAAGAGACAACTACGAGGTACAAGTTGATTGATTTTGTTGATGAACATTTCGAAGGAGCCCATGAAGCTCAACCCTCCGAGGTTAGAATTCTAAATTGTAAAATGTTCAGCATCCACCCCATTTATTAGGCTTGAGGTTTTGTTCCTTGGGTAGCCTATGTCACCAAGGCGACACGGGAAAAGTTTTTTTTTCCGAATGAACTGTCAGAAGGTAAGTGTCTTAAGGACCAAGAAAAATTTTCGTCATGTTTAAGCCCGAAGCATGGAACTTCCCGTATAGGTAGAAAGAATACATTACAGTAGTTATTCAGCTGTGAGAAAAAAGGGGTTGTCTCTTCCCTCCCCGTTCCCACTTTTGCCTGTTTCACTAGGCCGGAAACAAATAAAGTTTTGTGCTTTGCCTTTTAAGACTTTTAGCAGAGAAGTGTCTGATCTTCACGGGTCAGTGGAAGATCTCAGCAGCAGGTGTGAAGAACTTATGAATGGAGCCCCCACCAGAGACCGTGAGGAGATTGGAGAACAACTTAACACCCTCAAAGCCAGATGCGAAGATCTTGAAGGTACGTGCTTTTGAATTAAGAGTGTTGGTCTTGCGCCGCTAATACAAATCACCTATTAGAATGTATGTTGTCTATCAAAGAGAAGAGCCTCTTTTTGTCTTGTTCTTGATTGAGAAGGAGCAGAGGAGGCTGTGTTTGAATCGCGTTAGCCTGCGTAGCAAGTGTTTCCGTGCGGTTTCGGAGCAAAGAACGAGGGGCGAGCTACAAATGCCACGCGAAAAATGGCGCAAGTAAAATAGCAGGGAGGGGGTTGTGTGTGGTGGGAAGGCTCTCGCTCCATTTCTCACGCGCGGCCAAAACTGAAAATCTTGTTCCTCGATCTTTCTTTGCTCCGAAACCAAACGAAAACGCTTGTTTCGCAGGCTAGAATCGAGTCAAGCAGCCTGAACTTCTGAAGTACAGTAAAAACCTGCGAGTAAGAACATGCATTTTCTCAGTTTCTTACATAAATGGTAATTAGCACAAATTTAGGCTATTTAGATCATAAATAGGTTCTCATTTTCCAAAAGGAAACAAAACGTATTGCAGCCAAGACTATTTAGGTTATTCCTTGGTAAAACTCTGCATACCATTGTATTGCATGTCTCCTAAGAGGATCATGAATTTTGACTTATCTTATTTGCTGAGGTGTACAGAATTGTTTTTGTAGAATTTAGAAAATAAGAACCCGTTTCAAATTTTAGGCTTCACAGGTTCTTCTATGGAGGGGGCCTAACTGGCAAATTTTAGCCTAACAGGTTCCTAAAAACCAGGTCTTTACTCGCGGGTCTTTATTTGATTATACCGGGGTTTTAAACTGCATCCTAGCAACATGCAGTCTCTCAAGTGAAAGAAAGGCTCTGTTAGCAGACGCACCTATTTTTATTATATATGTATGAATTGGTTGTTTCAGGACACGTCGCAGAGAAAGAAGAAGAATTTGAGGAAACCTTGTGGAGATGGCAGGAGTTTCAGAGTGAGATGGACGCGTGTTTCCGTAATCTTATTATGATAGAAAAATCTCTGGATTTTCAGACTGTTGACGATGGTGAATTAGAAGATCGCAGAGAGACGCACCTGGTAAGATTCATATAGACTCAAGGGGGGTGGGGGGTGGACTCCCTATAATGGCCTAAACGAGCAGGGGCCGTCCAAAAGGGGTACCTTTTTCAGGCTTCTGGTATATGAAAGGGTATGGATTTTACTGGTGGAAATATATGAATGGGTAGGGAAATTTGTCATTTCGGTCTGTGAAAGGGCCCAAGGGCCTAAAAGATGCATTTCATGGCTGTGAAAAAGTCGACAAAACGTTTTGGTTTTGTGATTTTTTATGTATATTTTAAAGACAGAGCATTCACAGCAATTAAAAGGGGTGCAAAAATATAAATTAGGTTATGTGAAAGGGGTGCCTTTTGTCAACAGAAGGTATACAAAAAGGGTGCCTTTTTGGATATAAAAATGGCATGTGAATGGGTACCCTGTGTTATTGTTTTTATCTAAAACTGTCATTGATTCCTGGAAAATGTTCTGATAGATTTTCCAGTCTGTCATCACTGAATAAAAGATATTCACATAGAGTGGTTTCGCATCCTTTTCGTCGGAATATAGTATTACGTGACTACTTAATTTTAAAGTTGCGGAAGCGTTGCGTGACGAGTATACTTGAGATACCTAAAGCTGTCATTTGCTGTTGCTTGAAACAAACTAACCGCTCTTTCGTTATAGATGCTATCAGACAACCTAGATTTCCAAGAATCAATTATCCATGATATCAAAGACCGAGCAAAGATAGTGCTGGGATTATTTCCTGCTGCTGACGGCAACAAAGCCAGAGTCAAACTCATTGCGCTTGATCAGCGGTTTCTCCTCGTCAAAGAGCGCCTTCAGAGGAGACAGGAAGAGATGTTGAAAGCCTCGGTGGACTGGCACGAGTTTGAGTGCGGGTTAAAGAGCTGTTTGGAATGGGTTCAAAGAGCGGAAGAGCGCTTGTCACGTGACTTACCTGAAAACGAGGTTGACAGTTCATGGCTTAAGGTTGGTGAACTTTCTTTTTTGGCAGAGAATTATTTTTTTTACTACACTGACATTTTTTTATCGTTCTTTACCCACTTCCTTCTTTTCCAATGAGCTTCAGGAAACGCAACTCGGCACCATTTTTACATTAAATCTCTTATTAACGGCATGATTTCTTTTTAACCTGTTATAAACACAAACTGAAAATTTTCACTAAAATGACCAAGACTTGCCACTAAGTAGAGCGTCCGACAGGTGTACGGAAAGTTATTGATTCGATTCCCGACTTCGCCTCGGATTTTTTGTTGTGCCATGCTCGCGACGGGTAAACTTTTGTAGTCCACGTGTCTTGTGTTTCGCTTTTGCGACCGGTGAACAGGAAATCTTCGGTTGATCCCCTTTTGTGGACTTAGAATTTTCTTTGTGCCTTACTCACAGCAACAGGATGAATATTCCAAGTCCATGTTTCTACTGTTGCTCATTTGCATTGTGGCCTGCCAACTTTCTCTACACTTTATATTTTTTTTTTTATTTATTTGGGAGGAGGAGACTCGAACGCAGTTCTTTGTTGGTAGTAGAATAAAGCAGGTCGAATTACAGTATCTGCCGTCGCTGTAAGCTGTCTAAAACATTCGAACTGTATAGACTTTCCCAGGTTGAATATTCCAAGTCCATGTTTCTGTTGTTTTTCCTCTGCATTATGGACTTTAAGGCCTTTCAACTTTCGGTAGACATTAAATGGTTCCTTTTTTTATTCAGGAGGGGGACGTTCGGTTCATTGTTGTTAGTAGAATAAAACAGGTCGAAAAATCAGCCGTCGCTGTGAGCTGCCAAAAACATTCAAATTTTATGGACTTTTGGCTCTTTAATCATCCGAATGAATGGTCAGTGAATCTAAGAGGCAGGTGTTTTTGGATCTTGTCATTAACTCGCGGCAATTTCCTATATCGTATAATTGAACTCGGTATCGTCCTACGCATACATTCTGTAAAGCCTTAAGCACTTTTTCGTATCCCCCAAGTCTCTCAAGAGAGATGAGTATCTAAGTTACCCTTAACGCATGCTCATAACCGAATGTAAGTGTAAGAGTCGGTGTATTTAGTGATTTTTTCTAAAATTAATTTATTTTCCCGACGTCTTTAGGAATATTTTCAATTACGAGGATTTTTTATGAAGTTAAAGATCTTATTTCTAACAGTTTTTTCATTTGCCAGAGTTTCAGGAGTATAAGTAGACCACAAAATCATTAATATATTTTTTAATAGCGAAGTTTTATCTTCATAGCTGCTTATTCATGGTTCAGTGACTTGTGGGTGTGATTTACAGCTTTGTAAAGTAGTTTTTAATTCAGTTTTTCATGAGCTTTTGCCTAAACATTCCCTTTAAGGTTTTTGTTCACACAGGAAGTTCAAAAAGCTTTAGTTTTATGCGGAACTTTTTTTTAAAATCTAGAAACACGTGTATTGTTGACATGTCACTCGACGTCAAAAAACTTGTGGAGCGAATCCGAAAATTTACGTTTCCAGGTCGCTAATCACGCTTCGTTTGGTGGTTATTTAAATTTTCCCGCATCCTATAAAAATTCTCTGGTTCTTGTCGCTCTGTGACAAGCAGTATTTAATGAACGATTGGTATTTAATTTATCTTATTCCCCTGTCCGCGCCACGTTGCCTAAGAACGGTGTCAAGCTTGAATTAATTAATTGTAATGTATGCGGCCGATCGCTAGCCATGTTTTCAGCGTGTGGCTACGATCTGTTTAAGGTTTTTGCGCTCTGGAAATATGGTTACTTAGAAAATTTAAGTTGGAATATTTCTCAGGAAGAAGATCACATTTGCAGTGAATAATAATTCACCTTTAACACTGATTTTGACATTGACACTTCGATTTACGCTACGACAGACTAGCTGATGTCAAGATATACTATACCACTATATGAATTATGACTGCAGTAGAGTGTATCTTAGCCGCTTTCTCTCGTAAGAATACAACTATAGGAAGCCTGGGATCTGGATGGAATCGTGGATTACATTAAGGACTACTCGCCGGCAGACGTCATGGCTAATAGTAATTCAGATGTGTATCTACACTATTTCTATTTTCAGGCTTTTGGCGATGAATTCGACGTCCGACAGAGCGACTTCGAATGCGTTCGCAGCCAAGGAGATCGCTTGATCGGTCAGCTAAGCGATCGCACCGAACAAAAGGCTCTTGCAACACAAATGGAGGATATATCCCAACGCCTGGAGCGAATACAGAATTTAATGCACGAAAAAGAACGAGGTGTCGGTGCGATCAGCCACAACAGCGTGGAGGAGTTCAACGTCGCGTTGAAAGTTTGCACCGACAGGGTTCAACAGCTCAATACAAACCTGGGGGAATTTGAAAATTTCGAATCCTTTCGCGAGGAGCACGACAGACTACAACTACAGGTAGGGTTTTAATTTTTATAACTCTGCAAAGCGTTAGTGGTTATGATTCCTGGTGCGATTTTTGTGAAGTCTTTATTTATCGCACCCATTGATTTTGTGTCAACCAGATCCCGGGAACAGCTGGAAATTTAATCTTCAAAATACAATTTCGAAAATATTTAATTGAAAAAATGAGATATTTAAAAACTGACTACTTTCAGTGACCTCAAATTATACTTGACACAAATTTAGTAATTTTTTTAACTTTAAATATTAAAATGCATAATATTTTGGTAGACTGTAAAAATAGGTGAGGGAGATAATTATCTCGGTAGAGTTTTTTAGCTTAGGCAGAGAACTAGTCTGAAAGTGATTTTACGACGTTTTTTTTAAAAATATCAGACAAAGTCATTGCTACATCTCCCCGTGAATCTTTGTTCGTTTCACACCTTCTGTCTGTATAGAATGTTTCTTGTCGAGAGCGTTATTTCATCTTGTTTCACGCATTCTTTTTTTAGAGTACAGAAAACATGAGATTAGCATATAAAGGTTGATTTAAATCTTGTGTCACGCTTCACGCTGTTTCGCCGTGGAGGGTTATTATTTTTACAAGATAGGGCGGCATACATCGAGGGTTGACTGTTTGTTAACCACGGGATATTTGCTTTTGGAAGTATACTTTGGTCGCTATGTAGATATCACACTGTTCGATTGGAAGGTGACCCAATTATTTACTGAACAAATTACTTCTTACGTAAGGGAGTATTGTTGTTCTTTAAGGTTTATTTTTTTTTGTTCTTAAATTGTCGCTTAAAAGGAAAATAATAATGATATATTATAATAAATATTCTCCGCAATGCCCTCCATGGATTGCGATTAAAATCCTTCATTTTCATTAATTTCTGTTTAATTTTGTTTTAAAAACATAAGTATGAATTACCTTGTTAGTTGTTATGGAGGCTAATATCGCTTGATTGATAATTGGCCAGGTTGTTCTATTCCATAGACGAAAGGGTGCCGTCTAAGTACGGCAACTATTATTTTTCGGGTTTTAGGTTCTTTTTTTTTGTATTTTTATTAGAAAAATCAATTAAAACGGAAGTCAAAAACAATTATCTTTACACTAGAACAGGTGCAATACTCTTGGCTCATTGTTCTTTACAATAAGGTGTAATTCTGGGTAAAAGGAAAGATTATAGTAATTCCTTCTCCATTAATACCACACTGTCTTTTACTAAATAACAAATAACGCCCATCAGAAAAAGAGAATCGGCCAATTCTACCTGGAGCAATGTTTGTCGAAAATTTGGAACAGTGGACTGGATGTAGGGATTTTTCACGGAGGAGCCAAATACTCAGTTAAATTTTTGCTCAGGCGAGCACCAAGGTTACAAATGAGGTGCGGAATATACCTTGTACTAAAATTAAATTGTTAAAGAAGCTAGATTTATTTATTATTAAAATATTTGTTATTTATTTATTGGTTTATTTATGTATTCAGGAGCTTTCGTCAGAGCTGGAGTTCATTCAGAGTTTATCAAGAGATCTCCGTCAGCGATACCAGACGTTGCCTCTTGAGGTTCCAGACATGGAAAGACAGGAAATCAAAGGAAAACTGGAGAGACTACAACGACAAATTTCAGATGTTGGTGAAGAGCTCGCTCGTGTGTCAGGGCACGATGTCACAGCAACTCCAAGGATGGATGGAGCATCTGCTTTGGTCGCACTTCACGTGGAAGTCTTGGAGAACAAACCTCCAGGGCACGAAGTCGTAGAAAATGGAGGCTCTGATTTAGGAGATTCAGAAAGCGGCGTCTCATCCATGGAGTCATTTGAAGGGATTGTACGCAGAGAGAACGGTCATATGCCTGGAGAGAATGCTTTAAAAGAAAACGGCCTGCCAGAGGAGCCTTCAACCAATGGCACCTCGAACGAGGGCTTGTCTCTTAATGAGGGGATTGCTGTTTCTCCAGATGAGTATCAACGCATTCTTATGAATAACAGCGCGGAAACGAGTGAACATGTGACATTAAACTCAAATGGTCTCGAAAACGGAGAGTACTCTCGTAACAATGGCGATGAATCACGTGTTGCATCACGTGAAAGTGGAAATAAACCACATGATGTAAGCGTGCCGTTGCTGACGGTGACTGATGAGGATGGGAGCGCTTTGGAAGTACAATTTGCAGAAAATGTAACAGAAAATAGTTCAGATAATTTCGATAATGGAAGTTTCTCAGGCTCAGCTGGTGAATTCTTTATTGATGACTTTGATGTTTATTATGGGCAAGATCCTCCTAAGATTGTTGTTGAACCTGCCGAGGCGTCTGCAGGCGATAATACTGACTTTCCAGATATCAAAAATGATGAACCAGACGCAACGCAAGAAAGTTCTCATAGACAGGATAATGACAAATCAAATGTCCCAGAGGAAAGTGTTTTGTCCGATCAGGCAATAAATGGAATTTCGGGCGATGACAGTCGTGAATTATCAAAAGACCAGGAGTTGACCGAAAATGTGGAGACGGAAATAATACTTCCGTCTTATAAAGCAATCCCAGATAACGCGTTACATGAATTTGACATCTCTGCCGACTTGGAGACTGGAGATGATCGTCCGCGTCACAGTACACCGTCTGAACTTCCGGTCTCCACCGCGAAAGAGGAAGATTCGAAATATGGCAATCAGGCTGAGGAATTAAATTCAAAGCCAGAAGGTTTCAGTGATTCTACTTCGCCTTTAGAGGAGGTAGTTACAGGCGATATAATTCCCGTTGTGAGCAACAATACTCGAGCACTACCTCAGCCCGACGAAGTTAGGAAAAGAAACGATAAAAGACGCAGATACGAAGCTGTGAATTCACCCAGTTCGTTCGAAACAATCGAGCAGGCAGGACAAGACGATCAGTCATCAAGTTCAGTCATCTCCGCGCCAAACGATGAAATGGATAAACTGGATAGGTTGCTGAGGGTAGGCGAGCTTGACTCAGAGGTCGAGAAACCCCAGGACAGAATTGCGTCCATTTTAGCTGAGCGTCGGAAAGCCGAGGAAGCTGAAAGGCTCCGTTTTGCCGAGACCTCTGTGAGGGACCCTGATTATGAGCTTTTCACCTCTCGTCCCCTAGATCTGATGGACAGGAGCTCCCCGTTGAAGGAACTTGATGAGTCAGGAAACTTGCTTCACGAGGATATGTCCCTAGAAGATTTTTTAGTTGAAGTAGAAAAGTTGGTTGAAAAGTTGCGTTCCATCGAGGAATTAATTACGACAGAACTGGATTCAGAGGATAATATGAAGGATGAGTTGGCCAAGCATGTAGTAAGTGAAGACAAATTCTTTATTATTACAGTGATGTTTATAAAAGGTAGCCCTTTTCGCCCTAAAACCAGCCTACGAGAGAGTTGCTTTGTCTAATGCGGTTATACAGTCACAACCAAAATAATCGAAGCGCCGTCTGGTACCAATTTCTCGCGTGGGAGTCCAGCATACTCTCGCGTTATCGTTCATACTCGCGAGATTAACAAGGCAAATATGGCAGCGCGCGATTATTTTTGTGCAAGACTCGTGTTCGCCTGTTTTTATTGAAATGTGGGTTTATATACTAGAGACTATAAAAACCGTAACGTCCCTATTTAATTCCACATATTCATGGAAAATTATTTCAAAAGTAAATGTATTTCTTTTCAATCAGGCTTTGTGCGTTGTGATGTCAAAACAACAAGATCGACTCGATCAGATGAACCTGCTATCGCACAGTTTTCTTCACGGAAGCGCCAGCCTGAACATTATCTTGGAAGAGCGGCTTAGAGAGGTACTGCAACACTAACCGTCCATTCATCATTGTTGTTAGTTAAGGTTGAACTGCGACTCAATGTAATGTTGCTATTTATTTTGTTATGTTTTAAATTTTATATCTATAATGCCATAACTTTTTATATATTTTTTTCGCAATAATAAACGCATAAATGTCAGGTGTCAAAATACACGACACTAGGGTGACAAACAATTTTTGCAAGGATCACTTGGACATACAGCAGCGAGGGAAAGCCGAATCCTAGGGCGATCCCGCATTTATTCGAAAGATTGTTTTTGATTAGCTGGGAAAACAATAGGGATTGTCACAGAACAATGCTCCTATACCTGAAAACAATGGAAATGCAGATTAAAGGGGACCAGTGAAGAAAGAGGTTAAGAACGGTGCAGGTCTACTCGGGCGGGGAATCTTGGTATAGATCAGGAATCAAAATTGAAGGCACTCAAAATTGGATGACCAAACACTAGGCTGGCCAAACAATGTCAGTCTTCAACTGGTTGATTTGAAGTAAACAGTAATTTACCAGATCATCTTGAAAATTCGTTAACTGTCATGAAAGGCACTTGTTTTACAGATACCTTTATATATTTTGACTGATCACTATCTGTTTAGTCAGATTGGTCATGCACGTTATTGCTGTGGTTATCAGACCCATTCAACCTTAGTATTCACTGTCATAAAAGCGAGATCTCCTCAATCACAACCAATAAATCACTCAAAACTCCAGAAATGGGAGAAAAGACATTGTTCCCAGGCTACCTCTGTTCCAGAGGATGTAAAGGAGAGAGACCCTGGGATCGAGGTGGGCCTGAAACTGGTGCTAAGCCCCACAAAACACGTAAACCAAGATATTTCGCTGTGCTTCTGATTGGTCGAAAAATTGAGGTCATGTTTTAGCCGATCACACAACGTAGCGAACCAAACCCAAAGACACCACAATATAACGTTCGACACTTACGAGGGACTTACATGAGAATGAAGTAGTAGATGATAAAGCAAATAAATACAGATCTTAAATCCTGTTAATTTTTGTATCCATCCATTTGTAAGGTCAACGAACTTTGGGGATATGTTCAAGAACGAGCTTCAACGAAACAGGGGATTCTCGAGCGCTGTGTTCAAGAACAGGCCCAGAACCTCGAAAGTTCACAACAGCAGGAGGTCATAGCTTTTACGGAGAACTTTTCTTTCTTGAGGTCACTTTATTTAACGCCAGCTTGCGACGAGGATGGTGTTTGTGGGAGACCTAAAGGCCGCCTTGAGCTAGACGAAGATCGTGATGAAGTGGAAGAGTTTTATGATGAGGATCTGAAAAATCAGATTGAGCTGCACGAGCTGTTTGAAGAATTAGCGTCTGTAGAAGAAAGCGCGGTAACGGAGGAAGTTGTTAACAGTGATCTGACGAGTTGCCAGGAACAGTTAACTCGATTGCAGGTCAGTGTATGTGAGTGTAAGGGTATGTGGATGGGTGACCACTGAAATGATGGTATTGATAAGGTGATTGTAACTTTTTGAGTCAGTGGATGAAATCCTAAACTGTGGCCATGCAAATGAAAGCCATTGAGCCATTCTTTTCTGTGGTACTGTGAAATATGCTGTTCAAGATGGTCGTAACTTGTGAGTCCGTGGATGAAATCCTAAAGTGTGACCATTCTAATGAAAACTACTGAGAAGTACTTTCCTGTGGCACTGTTTTTAGTCTATGAATGAAATCCTTTTGTGATCAATTTAATGAAAGTTTCTTAGAGTCATTGCATGTTTCTTACCTGTGGTACTATTTATCTTGCTACACAAGGTATTTTTAACTCTGGTATTATGACTATTCAAACGAAATCTCTCAAACTACTTCAGCAAAGTGCCATTCGCTATTTCTTTCCTTTCTTGGGTTTAGTTTTCAAAATGAAATTGAGATTTCGCCTGGATCACATATTTTGGATGTTTTTTTTTTATTATGAAATAAAAAAAGGATAAAGAAGATCTGTCTTGGTGACTTTTTGGAGTAACTTAGTTTTTTTTTTGTTCAATAGGATCTCATAACGAATCTACTGAAAGCTAGGAACAAGATGGATTCCGTCTCGCGACGATTATCGTCTTCAGCTGCGGAGAATACAAACCTCCGTCAGCAAATCTCAGACCTGAAAAGTCTTATGAATGGCGTCATGAAGCTCGTTTTGAGGAAACAAAAGGAATTAAGATCTGCTTTGGAGAAGAAGGTGAAGGTGGAAACAGCTCTGCTTCATCGAAGGGATTTTGAAGGAAAGTTGCAGGAATGGTCTCAGCTTGTGGACGACATTGAAGATTTTGTAAAGCATTTGGGGCCTTTCAACGAAAAAGATAAAGATTTGGAGCTGCTTTACTTCGAGGTAAGATTGTTAAACATCTGAAAAGGAAACATCAAGGTTAACCATGAGAGAAAAGCATAACGTTAAGTTATGTATATAAGAAAAGCAAGAATACAAAGCTATTAAAATATGGCTCGTTTAAAAACGTGTTTAGTGCCTTTGTACTGGAGAATTTCTGATAAGAAAGGTTTTGGTGAGGCATTTTATAAGAAAGATTGTCGCTTTAAACGCGTTTGGAAGTCATGATGTACAAGATGTCAATTTCAAGTTCTCGGAATGCACTAAGTTACATTTGTCTTTGGACGTGAAATGTTAATGAAAGAAAGTAAAAACGTGAAAGAAAATGATAATTACCAAAAAAAAAGAATGGAGAATAGCCACACCCATAGTCCTTCACGTCTCTGTTGATCATTTTATTTAACTTCTTTTTACCTTAATAGTTCCTTCAAAGCCACTGTTTGATTCAAGAATGCCTTCATGACTTCTTGAATAAAGAGTCCTCTAAAGGCGCTAGTCCGCATAAGAAGGCACGTCTATCAGACTTGAACAAACGATGGGACAGAATACGAGCAATACTACAAAGTAGGCAACGGAAACTAAGAGCCTTAGGTCTCTTGGCTGGTGAAGCTCAGACTCCCCCGAGAGTACCTGTCGTCGAATCCATTATCCCGGAGAGGGAAAAAACAGTATTAGCATCAACCCCGGAGGAAAAGAAACCGGAAGTTAAGCAAACCACACCCAGGAGTAAATCGACTTCTCCCGCCAGGGAGCTAAGGACGCCCCCGAGCGGGGAAAAGAAATCTCCCAGGACAAAGAAGAAGCAGTACGAAGAGGAATTAAAGGAGTTCTCTGAGTGGTTAGCGGAGCAGGAGAAACCATTTCATGATCTGGTTGGTGATGAAAGCTTGCCCCCTACAATGGAAGCCTTGAAAGAAAGACTTACGCAATTTCAGGTAATGTGTTGTAATAATCAGTTCTGCGGACTCGATTGAGTCAAGAGGGCTTTCGTGCGCAGACTCAAAAGTTAGAACCACCTTGTACAGCATTGTAAACAGTACCTCAAGAACGTACTGCTCAGTAGCTTTCATTTGAATAGTCACACTAGAGGATTTCATCCACAGACTCAAAAGTTACAACCACCTTGTAAAACTTATTATACAGTTCCCCCAAAAAGTACTACTCAGTAGCTTTTATTTGAATTATCACACTTTAAGTGTTTCATCAATCCCGGTTATGCATTTAACCTGATTAATAGCTTTAATGTAATTTGTCAAAGGCGAGAACATATTCAACTGTAGTTAATTTGTTGCGGTTCATTTTTTTCAATTTAAGTTTGTCTTCCTTTTGTTCTTTTTAGTCGAGCAATGTGTGATAAGTTTACAGTAAACTATTTGATACACACAGGAAAACAAAATTTAATCCAGAAATAAAATTAAACCACAACATACCGTAAAATTCCGAAATAAGCCCCTCCATGTGTAAGCCCCTCCAAATATAAGCCCCCCAAACTCGTAACGCAAAAAACCCTCCGTTAAATCATCCCTCCAAATATAAGCCTTTGCACTTGGAAAATTGCTCTCAAATACAAAGAAAAACAAAGCAAAAACGGTAAATTTACTTCCAACTATAAGGGTAGCCCAAACGATTTCGAAACTCAAATTTCCCTCCGTAAATAAGCCCCTCCGAATATAAGCCCCTCCAAAAATAAGCCTCTCAAAAAGGGCCTTTGAAAAATATAAGGCCCGGGGCTTATTTTTGGAATTTTACGGTATGTAGTTCTTAAAAACAATCGCTTGACAGACATCTTTGTTTTCACCTCTAGGTGTTTTGTCGCAGTATTCACAGCCACAAATCTAAAGTTGACATGATGCGACAATTTGCAGCGCAAAGCGGAGAAAGGCTTGACGCTGACGTGGTAGGCCCTAAGTACGAAGATGTCACGAAGATTGCCGACAGCATGTACGAAGTGTGCGAAGAAAACGCTGAATATTTCCAGTCGGTGTTAATTCAGTGGCAGTCGTTCGAAGAGTCATCGAGGAAGTTTAACTCTTGGATGGACAATATGGTTCAAAAATCGTTCGCCGCAGCCAGGCAAATGCCCGAGGATAGCATCGATGCCGTTTTAATGAAGCTGATGAAATATCGTGAAATCGACCGTAAATTTACCGAGCGTCAAGCAACCAAGGACGCTTTGGTGTATGAAGGCGAACAGGTGCTGACTGCTACAGGTCAGAACAAATAGAGTTTGTTTGGCAGTTTGATAGGTGTACATAAAATGCACGCGTCCCTAGAGCTCCCAAAATCAGAACTCACGACTTGTGGTTTAAAATCCACAGACTGAAATTAATCGTTTCGATGATGAACCCCCTAATCTGAGAGTGTAGTAGACCAGGGTCAAACGCCGTACTTCATATTAGCCGGACCTACTGCTAACTAGTGACTTATCTTTTGGCTGCTCGCGCAGTACATGCTTTCCAAGAGCAAGTTCAAACCGTGTTCTATGCGATGTTCTATATCAATAATAATAATAATTTATTCAGTTAAAAAGCGCACTATAAATGAATAAATTATCATTATTATTATTGATGGTGTGTTTGTCGTTATTTTCTTCAGAACACTGTATAATAAAGCAATTATTAGATTCAATTTTTGTGATATCCGGGATAATCAAGGTCTTCGTAAGTGTTAACAGTATTGGCCTTCGGCTCGGCTGATAACACCTTGATTATTCTGTAATAAACTTCATCCAATAATTGTTAATTATTATTTGACTCTGCTCATGTGAAGTACGGTTTCTAACCCGGGGCATAGAATACCAATAAAACATAATATTTATCCGTTTCTTGATTAAATATGATCTAAAAATATAGCAACGCCGTTTTTGTATGTTCTGACGTGTTGTAGGGAATGCAAGCGTCCAGGCCTCTTTGAATCAGTTACGAGATAGGTGGCGCGCTCTCCGTCAAGAGACCCGGGGGGAGCGGCCGCGCCTAGAGCAATTGCTGCAGTTATGGCGGGAATATCAGACCGGCATGGATGACATGTTGGATTGGCTAATGTCAATACTCAGCCTGATGAGGAATGAGGAGATTTGTGATGACAGTTTAGATCTGGTCGAAGGACAGTTGGAGCATCTGAGAGTAAGTCGAGTGTTGTCTTTGTAATGCATCAAGGTTGTTATTTTTTCGATTCCTGAGGACTGATTCTCGATCGATGATCTTCAATACACGGTTCTCGTGAGAAACTAATATTGAGGGTATCCAGGAGGTGCTTTCCATTGAGTGAGGTTTATCGAGTGACCAGTTAAGCTAAAACCTCATTTACTCGTCTTTTTACGACTGATTTAAGGTCTTCGATCTTCCGATCTTCCACCTTCGACGCTCGGGTTTTCCTTAGAACCAAGAATCAAGAATCAATCATCGAGAATTGACCAGAGTCAATACGTAAGAAGCACTGTTAACTGCATGACTTTAAAGTGATACTGTGAGTTAGTAAGCTGTGCTTATTTATAGTTACCCATCTTATTACTTACTTAGTTACTTCGTGACTGTTATACTGTTCTGTTCGTCCTTCTGTGGAAGTTGAAATTTTATCAAGATTCTTAGGGAGTCAGTGAGGGGTTGATGCCTATGAAATGTTGTTACTCCTTTATCAGCATTATCAAAGAGAAGTGGAAAATCACCAGGCCATCAAAGAGAGACTGGATGAGATCGCTTCTCAGTTAGAGAAGGCAGCGAATGGAAACGCCGAGGATATTCTTGAGAGCCAGGCCAGACTGGATGACAACTGGTCTGAGCTGTGTGCTTTACTCGAGGATCGCGAAGAGGACCTTCTTGGGGCACAAACAGACCTGCTTCTCGTGCGGTGCCTTGATGACGTGGATCAGCTGGAGGAGTGGTTTAAGAGTGCCATGGACACTATGGAGAAACCAGTTTTGGTTCTTGGTAGTGCCACGTTTGAGAAAGCAAAAGAGCAGTTGGTACGATATAAGGTAAGTTGGGGCCTTGGTGCTAGTGACGGATGGGCACTTACCTGTCCAGCTCTAAAGGGGCTATGTCACGCTGTGAGCTATCCTTTCCAAAGCTTTTTCGCATCAATTGAATTCCAAAAATAATGGCCCTGTTTTGTTATTTAAGACTATATTTGGGCATTGAAACTGTTTCCTGTCGTATGTTGCTACGGATGGCAAACTTGGTTGAAAATGGATTGAAACTGGAAAAACTGTTGGACAAACTTGTTTCAAATTTAAGTGTAGTTAACAAACTAACAGTGAGCGTAAGCAAAGACGTTTTTGAGCGACGTGCGTCAACCGGAAGTGGACTTCTCGCATTGTTCAGTTGTTCTGTAAGTTTACTTGTTGTTCTTTACGTTTACTTGAAAATATTCTTAATCAATACTTTGTTTATTTTCCTTGAACTAGAACATTAAAAGAGAACTCGATATCAGGGAACAAATCTTGGAAGACCTCACCAGTAGAGTCAACGAGTCACTTAACCACAGAGAAAATGTCTCTGTCAGGAGAGTAGCCGATGGCGTTCGACGTCTTAACTCGCAGAAAACGCAACTGGTCACGCTTCTTTCGGAAAAAGACGAGCGGCTCAGGCATGCGCTGAATCGCTGGGTGGACTTTCAAAAGCTCTACACTGAATTAAAGAACATCAATGATTGGTTTGAGTCGAGAGAAGAGACGTTAAACAGGTTCCAAAGAATTGTCACTCAGAGGGAGTTCGAAATTGCACTTGAGGATGTTAAGGTGGGCATTGAAGCAAAAGTAAAGTTGTCAACCGTTTCATTAACAGTTTTAAGAAATTATAGACTCGAAACGTAATAACTTTGTTCTGAAGTATTTCCGGTGAATACGTTCAGCCTTCATCAGTTGAAAGTGCGGTGTTACCTTGCAGTCACGTGTCCTTAGGATGGTCACGTGACAAGATAACTTCATCTTAGCTGTTTGGTAGTTCTACCTTCCCATCCCAGTTAAGAGAGAGGAGTCCTGTCTTCATCTCTATAGCTTCCTCGGTCTTTATTTTAGGGGTATTGTCTGTCAAAAGTAGTCTAGAAATCCGTTATTTTGTCTTGTCACGAAATTTATAAGACTGATAACGGATGCGTTGGAGTCTACATACAAGAGAATCAGAAAAGTTATGTATTCCTGTAGGAAGCAGAGCGTGTGACTTATAACGTCAGTAAATAAGCTTTTCATTCCTTCCTTTAATTCGATTGGTCGTTGTTTAAAGCGGGCCTGTTTGAAGTAGTTTCTCGCAAGGCACCATAGCTTGTATAGTTCCAAAAAAGTTTTTTTGAAGTTAACCATCATTTTTTTTTTATTGAAAGCGTATGACAACTACAGTTTTCTTTGTACCGATCAAACGTTTACCACGTTACTCATTGATAACGTCGTAACATATTTTTAAGCTGTCACAATGTCACGCGGGGGTT